TTTAAGTTGATTATTAGCAAGCTTAGGCAATGCAGAATATAAAGGTGAGCCTAAACAATTGATACGCCGAGATAAGTAATCCAATGTAGTGTGCTCAACAAGTTATAGTGAATGATAGGTCTCATGACCAAAGTAAACCACAAGTAGGGAGCTAGAGTTATTTAAAACCGACAACACGGAGACGAGGATGTATCTCAATGTTCACTTCCTTGGAGGGAAGCTAGTCACTGTTGGAGGAATGGGTGTTATCACGAAGGCTCACCCATTATCCTTCAGATATCACAACGAATGTGATCGCAATCACTAGTGGTAGACCTTGAGATGGCTTTCAAACCTTCACAACTCCCGATGCGACCAGGCTGGGTCTACGTCGTGCCAGGCGGGCGCACTCGCCCCCTGCTAGGACGGTTTGGTCGCACCAGATGGGCCCACACGGGCACCTGGTCAGATGCGCCTCGCATGCCCGGCCTCACGATCTGGGTATACTTGTCTGGCCAAGTGCCGTTGTGTTTGACCCGAGCACGCGCATGCGCCTGACTCATCATATCCAGCCAATATAGGATTTCCTTAAGATGGTTGTTTCAAAAGGCATTTTGGTTCTTTCCTTAAGATGGTTATTTTTCCTATAAGTTTGTCGTGCACTGGCTTGGGACATCGAGGTGGACTTTCTTTGGTGTGATGATAGGCCAGCGTAGCGTCTTTAGTGCAAGGAAGAGGCCGGTACCGTGGTAAGTGCCTTCTAAGCTATGTTGTCTTTGTTCTTATTTTTCTCGGTTGCCATCCTTTTTGTTCTTCATCATGCTTGTAGGTTTTGTGGGCTTCTATTTGAGATGCACACTTGCTTCTTCTCATGACATGCATTGCTACGATGGTGCCGCCATTTTATCTCTTTCCCCATGTCGTACGGTTCTGCCCGTCGGGTACGTTAGCCGGGTTCGCAGAGGGCCAAGAAGTTGTTGTATTGATCATAGAAGGAGGGAGATAGAATCAAGAAAGTGAAACAAATTGGTGCCATGGCAGCAAATTCGGTCGCCATGGCAGCAAATTTGGTCGCCATTGCAGCACTTCTAAAAACCCTACCATTGCTGAAAAGATTGCTGCCATGGCACGAGTTTCCCAATTTCAATCGAATTGATCATATCTTTGATCGTTGTATATGTAATACTTATGCTTCTTTGTTGATGCATGATAGCTTTTGTAGACAATGAGACTTAACATTTTATGATGGAGGTGTATCGATTGTTCTTATTTACTTTATTGTCCTAGACCATGCAATTATGCGCGTCTTAATCTGCCATGTATTGCCTTTTTCATCCTCTATATTTTGTCGACGATGGCATGTAGCCCGTTGATTGCGCTTTGTGTAATGGCCGTCTACAGATGTCATTTGACCTTTGTCGTCCATTTCCTGGTTTTGTATTGGGGATGTACCACCATATGGTTGAGAATAGAGTTGTTGTTGCTGCAATCGAGTGCCCTTGAGTGTTTGGAGATTGCTGGACAGAAACAATGAGGGACTAATGTGTTGGCTAGTGCACACAGAGAGATATGGTCCCTGGAGTAAATATGAGTTTGCTATCACTACTATAGGAAGGTCCTAACGCGACACATGCATAGGAGACCAATCGACCAAATTGTGTGTGATGCATTAATCACAAACAGTATGGTGATAAAACCTTCACCAATAAAACGAACTATGTGTGATGTCGGATCCATCAAATACGGTTCAGAAAAGAGTTGCTTGTGCAATACGTGGCATATAGTTGATCCATACAAACTGTTTGTGATGAGACAAAATAACGTGAATGGTTACCCAGATCTAGATGGGTGCGATAGACGGCGTACAAGTGATACGTCTCCAATGTATCTATAATTTTTGATTGTTCCATGCTATTATATTATCTATTTTGGATGTTTTATATGCACTAGTATGCTATTTTATATTATTTTTAGGACTAACCTATTAACCTAGAGCCCAGTGCCAGTTTCTGTTTTTCCCTTCTTTTTGAGCCTCACAGAAAACGGATATCAAACGGAGTCCAAACGAAATAAAACTTTCGCGATGATTTTTCTTGGACTAAAAGACACCCAGGAGACTTGGAGTGCAAGTCAGAAGAGTCGCGAGGCGGCGACAAGGGTGGAGGGCGAGCCCTAGGGGGGGCTACCTTGCCACCCCCTCGGGACTCCTCTAACCTAGCCCTTGGCCCTATATATTCACATGTATTCTAGAAACACCAGAAGCATCCACAAAAACACTTTTCCACCGCCGCAACTGTCGGATTTTGGGTTCCATCAAAACCCTTGAGGTTCGAACACTGGGGTGTGCACGAAGATCTCTCCTCCCCCAAGCTCTCACCCTCACCACGATCTCAAGGCCCGGCGCGTCGAACTCGTAGAACAAAGGGACACAAGATTTATACTGGTTCGGGCCACCAATGTGGTGTAATACCCTACTCCAGTGTGGTGTGGTGGATTGCCTCTTGGGCTGAGAATGAATAGTTACAAGGGAAGAACAACCTCCTAAGGAGAGGTGCTCTTGTGCTTGGCGAGTGTGTGCCTTGGTGGAGTGGATCCGGTCCCAGATCATATCCCCCCTCTACCATGGTGGCTAGTCCTATATATATAGGCATGGGTCCTCTTCCCAAATTTTAGGCGGGAAGGGATCCCACAACGGCCAATTTGAAGGGGGACAGCTAGTACAAGCTATCCTGATAAAAGATGGTCTTTGCCTGCCAAAGGCTCTGGTGATGACGCCGTCTTGGGCTCCACGGTGACCTCCGTCCTGCTGGTCTTGGTCTCATTGCACCGATATGGA